ATATATATGGGTGGTTTCATCTCAAATCGTGCAGGCAAGAAGGGTCGAATTTTTAATTTCGATGAAAAAAATACATGTTATGGCGCCGTTTCTAAAAACGCAGTCGCCACAAACCGCAAATTCGTCGGAGTTTTTGTTCTCGACTTATGAATTTTTAAAGAGGCCGCGGCGAAAAGCAGTGTTTTTCACACCCGTCGTGGGTCGGATGTTTCGCTTAATCTCCCGCCGTGGATTTTCAGTCCACATTATATTATCTTTTTTTAAGCGCTCTGTGGACACATTTAAAAGACTCCAATACCATAAAATAATTTTAGGCGTTTTGCTTTTTTTCTGTAAAAATGTCAAAAACGCCCCCTCGATCAATTGTTGACGAACTTTAACAATTAATTACTGGCGATCTACTTGGGTTATATCGATATTTTCTATGTCCACGGAGAGCCCAAAACACGCTCTTTATATGTATTATAAAATGACTCGGCTGTATGAAATATCCTTTGCGGTACGTTTATTAGATTAACCTCCAGGTTAATCTAATAACAGAACTATTAATCGAATAAAAGGTTACCGCTATCTGTTTAAAAGCTCAACCCGATTAGCTATTTGTTCAGATTTGGTCTAGGTTAGCAGCAGACCGTTGCAAGCGCCACAACATGAAACTAAAAATGTATTTTTATTTTCTCACCCTGTGCCATAGCCTCCTCTATACTCACAAAGCCTGGCAGTTCGATGACAGAGCCATGGAGTGCCTGGTCGCAGATTTGGAGCGCGAGGATATCGTAGCACAGAGCATTTCTCGGGGAGCCATGTAGTCAGCGCACAGCTTTTGCAGCGGCGAAGACCCGAAACATGGTTTTCAAACCCGACGAGAAAAGAAGCGGTAGCCCGAGGAACGCGAGAAGCACGAGCGGACATTCCATCACTCGGGACGAGTGTGTTTCGGCGTCTCGCCGCAGCGGGGTGCCCGTTACATGTCTCTTGTCTGCCTCTCTACCTTTTCACTTTCAGCCGCGTCTCGTGGCGATCTGCCAGGCTTTATGCCTGCGCATCGCGTGCGCGAGGCCCGGGTGAGCACGTGTGCGCGCGGTGCACATGCACATGCAGTTAACGGCAATATGAGCTGGCCCATCATCTCTGCTTACCGGCATGGTTGTCTCCATACCACGTACTAGTCTCAATATGCAGTTGAAGATAGCTTGATTGAAGGGCTCACCTTTCTGAAAAAAAAGAAAGGTTTACAGTCAACATTTACTGTTTTTTTAAATATTTTCATTAGCCATCAACCTGACGCTTACCATTGCTGAATCTTCAGCATAAGCGTAGCACAGTCGCACGACGGCACAGATTTTCCGACTCTCCTGGAAATTCAAGGCAACCAGGCGCTTTGACAAATTGACAGGTAACTTGGGAGCTCTCATCCCTTTTTGCGTGTACGCGTAAGGAAAGCAACTGCGAGCGCACTTGCGTCCCGGCAACTCTCTGGTCCTCCACGTTCCCCTCCTCTTTGGTACGCTTTGTCAGGCTTATCCACATGATGCATCTTTTTAACGCGCCACAGTTTAGCGATACCGAGATTTCGCAAAATCGGCCCGTTAACACGTGGAGTTTGACGCGCGAAACCTGTGACGTATTGACTCACGAGAATTTCGCCAAAGCTTGTCATCTGCACCGGGAATACTAAGCGTTTCGCATCAAAATGATATGAAGTACTCACAGTTTGAAGAAACAGTCTGTTTTATTAATACCACTCAATAAACTTCGCCAGATTCGGCTCACTGGGTTTACAAGTCGTGCCAAAACCGGGAAAGACGGCAAACGTCAAAGAACAGGCGGATGATCTCGATGCATTTGGGGACATTTTTGCACCGCTAATAAAGAAAGTTATCTCCAGCCACCATGTTCATATGCGCTGCTTGCACTCGTCGCGACTGTTGATGAATCTGCGCCGCGCCGCCAACCCGTACTGCTAAAGCGCTGTTCACACACCTGCAACCGAGTAGGACCAAGACCCATCAACCGTACGCACCGCTTCTCCGCCTTTCAGCCTGTCGTTCGCCATGTTTTTTTGTTTTTCTTTAGGCTTTGGCTTGGGTACGGAATCGACCAAAAATCAGACTTCTCCAAAAGCTCGCTCCTCCTCGAAGGTCAGACGCCACAGCGAAGTCGAGCGGCGTTGGCAGCGTCCGCGTTTCTCCTTCGGGTGATTGACAGGCCTCACGCGCCACTTTCTTTTTTCGGAGGCGCGCCACTTTTTCGGTCGCGTTCAGACGGGGAATCCGTTTCCCGAAACCTAGTTTCGCGACAAAAGATTCGCCAACAAGATGCATCGTGTGAATAGAGCTTTAGTCGGCCATGAACATCCGTGCTCATGTTTAAGTTTCGGAACAGTTGAGTTTTTTTGTTTTTTTTTTGGCATTATTACAAAGATACGTGACTCTGCAGCAAAATAAATTCGAGACGTATTGCGCTCGACTGTCTCCACATTATAATATTGCAAAATGATAGCGCAAATGTCTTCACGGGACATCTCGGTTTTGAATCACGTCTTCAAGACTGGGCGCTCCCTAGTGATGAAAATAATTATCAGCTAATTATGTCACTAGCACAATGGCCTTTTCAGATAATTAAGAAAAACAAGTACGGGCTGCGTGAACTCTACTTCTGCTATAATTCTGTAACATTTGAATGTATACGAAAGAAACAGATGATTGAACTAAAATGGCTTCACCAGAACGTACTGTTCCTGCATTAATAAGGTTTCACAAATCCCACCAATAGATCGATCTCACCAGCTACAGTTAAAGCCCGTATAGCCCGAGAAAAGTGGCGCCATTCATTGTTGTGGAAATGCTTGAGACATGTACCGCGTGCCACTTCCGGGAAGAACATGGCGTCTGAAATCTAGCTGAGTGCTGCGCTGTGCCGCCATGATCTTCTCAAGGGCTGCACGACGCACCTTGCGCTACTTTTGAAACAGAAAAGGGCTTTATGTTGACGTACATGATAAATCTACGGAACCCCCATAAACAGCTTCGCTGTAAAAACAGGTTTTGCATAGGGCCAAAAAAACCCCGATAACTTTTTTTTTTTTTTTTTGCAGTTAGTTACATTTACATTAGCTATTCTAATAAGTTGTACAACTCGGCTATCAAGCTGCTCGTGAAAATTGCAGTGTTGGGTAAAGTACATCTAAAAAGTACTTGAAGTAAAGTACAGAGAGATAACTTTATTGACCAAGAAGGACTTAGTCTAGGCCAGGGGTGGCCAAACTGCGGCTCGCGAGCCGCATGCGGCTCTTTGCTGGTCCAAGTGCGGCTCGCGGATCCCTCGTAAAAGACCCCCCCCCCCCCCCCCCCCCCTTCTCCCCTTTCCGCGTTTCCCCAGGAAAGAAAAAAGAAGAAAGGATTTCAGAATAAAGCAAGTGCAGCTTGCAGTTTGGCAGCTTTCTACTCCCATATGTACAGTCGTACAGCCTTGTGCCCCCATCCGTCCAGTCAGACTCTGAACAAAAGTTAAGTTTGCTCCCCCCCACCCCTCGCGGCTCTTAGAAGCTCCGTGGTTTTGTTTGCGGCTCTTAGGCCAGGCCACCCTGGCCACCCCTGGTCTAGGCCGAGATCATTCGGTGGACCCCGGAGGCCATCTGGGGGCGACCGAAAGCGCCCACTTAATAATAAGGCGTTGGAACTCTTCATTCGAGTTGTGCAGTAAAGTCTCCCACTGGTCTGATTCGACTTTTGCTTTTAGAGCCTCTGGAGGAGGATTGGCACGGCAGAACCATAAAATATGTGCCAAGTCTGCCTTGCGAAAGGAGTACGGGTGATCGAGATTGGGTGGGGGACATCAAGTAAACTACAAAGTTAATGAAAAGTTTTGTACTTCAAGTAAAGTACTAAGTACACCGGGCGCAATGTACTTGAAGTAAAGTACTTTAAAAACAATGTACTTTCAAAGTAAAGTACAAGTTATTTTTAACACAATATTTTATTATGCCCTTTCATTCCCCTATTCAGTGTTTTTCTTTAACTGGTATGCATTGCCCCGAGGGTGACCGGTCAGTTATTTTAGAAAATGGTGGTGAATATTAGATTAAATAAAATGGCCACAAAGTAATTATTTTTGGAAATGGTGCTTAATTCAGAACCCCCTTTGATTTCTGAATTTCGTGCTGTTTGCACTGGCTTGCACCTAACTTGGTTAAAACGAACTAGGAGAGAGCATGACGGCCGCCCTGTAGCTTCCGCAAACAATCTTCTCGTGAAGGAGTGTACTCTCCTAATGAATTTTAGCCTCCTTGCTTGCGCTGATCGAGTGAGCTGTAGCGAGAGTTCGAAATGCTGTGGGAGAGCCGCCCCCGATACAAACAGAGCAATGCATTGTCTGCTCGCGTCTTTAGTGAGTGTAGAATAACCCTTCCAGTATTTCTTCAGAGTTTACAAGGCATAATTTTGCTATACAAATTTAACAAAACCAAATTTGGGGAATGTACTTTGAAGTCGGGAGTTGTACATTCCTTGGAAAGTAGCAGCAAAAAATTATTTAAGTAAGGTACAAGTGCGTACTCGGAGAAGTAGTTCAAGTAAAGTATAACTCTACCAAAACTACCTTAAGTAGTACTTTCAGTACATCATCCATAGAGTGCCCACTCGAAATTTGGTAGCGTCGGTTCAACGTCAGTGCGTTGTACGTCCAACAGAAGTTGTGGGGTGTCGAATATGTGACAAGGGGTGTAAAAGCCACACTTTTAGAGCGCAGCTCTTAGGCGCCCGTTTCCGGCTTGAGCGGCGTCGGCGTCGCCGTCGCCGTCGGCGTAACCGCGCGAAACCCTCGTAACCCTCGGGAGGTTTACGAGGGTTACTCTCGCGAGGGTTACGAGGGTAACCCTCGTGATCCTCGTGAGAGTAGCAACCCTCGTAACCCTCGTAACCCTCACGAGGGTTACGAGGGTTACTCTCACGAGAGTTACGAGGGTTACCCTCACGAGGGTCACGAGGGTTACCCTCACGAGGGTCACGAGGGTTATGAGAGTTACCCTCACGAGGGTCATGAGGGTTATGAGACCCTCACGAGGGTCACGAGGGTTACCCTCACAAGGGTTACTAGGGTTATGAGAGTTACCCTGACGTGAGAGTAACCCTCGTAACCCACACGAGGGCTACGAGGGTTACTCTCATGAGGGTTACGAGGGTTACCCTCACGAGGGTTGTGAGAGCTACCCTCACGAGGGTCACGAGGGTTACCCTCACAAGGGTTACTAGGGTTATGAGAGTTACCCTCACGATGGTCACGAGGGTTACCCTCACGAGGGTCATGAGGGTTACCCCCCTGAGGTCGCGTGACCCTCCGCTGAGGTCACGTGACCCCCCTGAGGTCACGTGACCCCCTGATTTCACGTGACCCCTCCCCCGCCGAGGTCACGTGACCTCAGGGAGTCACCTATCCCTCAGTACCCTACCATCCTATCCCTCAGTACCCTTCCATCCTTCTCCTCAAGAGCTGCGCTCTAATCCGGCGTTACAGGGAGTTGTAAACGGCTTTCATTTTTAGAGCGCAGCTCTTAGGGGCCCGTTCCCGGCTTGAGCGGCGTCGCCGTCGGCGTAACCAAGGTCATCCCAAGGTCACGTGACCCCCAAGGTCACGTGACCCCTCCCAAGGTCATCTCAAGGTCACGTGACCCCACGTGACCCCCTGAAGGTCACGTGACCCCTCGAGGTCACGTGACCCCTTCCAAGGTCATCTCAAGGTCACGTGACACCAAGATGACTATAGGAGCCAGCTCCGAGATATGAAATAATTTTTCTTCTTTTTCTAAGCTCGCTGCGCGAGCTTCCTGAGGCGCGAGAATAAAAGCAAACAGTTCGAGCCAGAACACCGTGGAGCTCGGACGTCTTTTCCACAAACTGGTGACCCGGAATCCGAAGGCCCCCGCCGCCTCGTACCACAGCCGCAGCCAACATGCAGAACCTGGCGCAAGACGGTGACACTACCGGCGACGGCGCGCCTCTTCATTCCCCCGACACTGCCCTCACGGCCATCCAGCTCCGGCTTCCGCCATTTTGGCCGAAAAATCCACGAGTCTGGATAACCCAGATCGAGGCTCAGTTTCATCTCCACCGAATAACATCCCAGCTGTCTCGGTTCTACTATGTCGTCGCCTCCCTCCCTCCGACCGTCGCCGACGAGCTGGACGACATTCTGTCCCGGCCTCCACCTGACGACGCCTACGACCACCTGAAGGGCGTCCTCCTCGAGCGGACGACAGCTTCGGAGCGCACAAGGATCCAGCAGCTGCTCACAGCCCAGGAGCTGGGAGACCGCCGCCCATCTCAACTTCTTCACCAGATGCGGCAGTTGCTCGGTC